ATCGTATTGCATATCCTTGGAAATTCCTCATTATGACACGCGACGAAATTAATAGCCATAGCCTCAGTATGTATGTGTGATGGTTTCACCATATAAGTTTTTTATCCGTGTACAAAATTGTTGAGCAAAGCAATCATGATTTGTCTACGATCGTCGTTTGATGTCATCGGAAAAAAAAAAAATTATATATATGTTCAAAAAGACTTTTTCTTATTCTGTCGGAAAATATTCTTCCATATATAACTTTTGCGTAGAGAACGCGCGTGACATAAATAGCTTTGATATCATAAACTACTCCCAAAGTCGACACCTTGGATTTAATGACCACGACAATTTTAATTATCAGGAGAATGCGCCGCGTGTTAACAGATAAAATCAAAGCTTCTGCGCGACACATCACATTGATTCTCTCTCTCTCTCTCTCTCTTTCTCTCCAAGAAACCGGAGATAATTCGGCGATAACGATCTCAGAGAGAGAATCCGGGATTCTCCGTGGTGTTCCGATTTCACTGACCGATAGCGTTCCAGTATCTACCGTGCCGTAACAACGTGGAGATATCGCGAAGAAACGGAGGGACGGTCGGACATTCTCAGTCGAGCTCACTGTCGGTCGTTAGAGCGCGCCGGGCCGTCTCTAATCGTCATGGAAGGATACTGAGACCGGTGGATCAGCCGGTCTCAGGGAACGGGACGGGGAGGATTGGAAGGGGGGGGGAGGGGAGGAGAGGAGAGAGTTTTGTAATGACGGGCGCCAACCAGCGTTGGTCTTCAAACCAGACGGATGAATGACGTTTTTGGCTCCTCGACACCTCTCCTCTCTAGCGCGCGCGCTGCGCTAGAATTTCAAGCCTCCGCTATATAAAAAGGAGATGGGGAGGGGAGGGAGTGGAGGAGAGAATTAGGCTGCTCTATCCAACAGCGCGATGGCTTAAGGGCTTTTCACATCTCGGCTGAGAAACGCGAGCCCTCTCACTGTCAGTCCCCTTATTTTTCCTCTCCACCTTTCTCTCGCGACCTCTCATATAGCGCTCTTATAGAGTCTCTTATAGATGCGGCTATAACGTTATAGGCAAGCGGCACTCGTGGAAATTTAGCGGTAATCTGTAAAGTAAACCGCTTTTTCGTCATTACGTGTTAAATCTCGCGAGAAGCTTCAAAAGTAGACAATCACACTGTAAAAAATTTTTTTTAAATTCAGTTTTTATCTGAATTTTCAAATCTGAGTGTCTGAAAAAAATTTCAGGCAATCTATCTTAATTATTAGAGTCGTTTTTCTGAAAGATCAGGAGAATTTGTCTAAAAATTGAAGTGTGTCTGAAAATTCAGACAGTGTGTCTGCAAAAAAGCTGCGGATACTTTGTCTGAAGTTTCAGTCAACGCTTTTTTACAGTGTAAAATTGAAAAATACATGCAGGAGAGACTATCAACAGACCACATCCGAGACGAAGGTCTGAGCGATTCACGCGTAAAATTTAATTCACACCACGCCGACGAAACGCATCGCTGAGAGACGCGCATCGTCCGCGTTATCGCGCGCGGGCTAATAAAAATTTCTCGACTAGCGGAGGCGCGATTGCACGCCGGAAAGAGCACCAATTATTGTGCTCGTTACTCGAGTAACAACAATGTTACCATAAGTAACTACATATAATACTTGTAGCAACGTAATTAATAGCGCACGCGTGATAAGCGCGCATATAAGTGCGGAAGGACCTTGATATAAAAGGGGATAAGAAGCGCGCTTGATGAATAAGTTCCACTTGCACTCGTGATATCTACATCATTAATACCGTCTATTTAATAACGTCTCACTCGTACAATAAATGTAACATTGCAATATATTCGCGTTGATATCGGAGAAAAGACTTACGATCGGTCATAAAAACGAGGCTTTATCTATACAATTTCTCGCGATTTCCTCATTTCCGACATCATGATCCGCCGATGACCGATGTGGCATCCGAATGAAATAACGAATAACTCGTTGAGAGTGCACGCTGGCAAGAAGAGAATCTCTTCCCTTTCCTCCGATTCTCGATTCTCGGAACCGCGTATCCCTGAACTTTCGCCGGACATTTTCGCGTGCCGCACACTAAGCCGTGCATAAATAATGCGCGTCGTAATGTCGTCTGAAGAGAGCGAAACGAGCCACGACGATTGTCCGTCCGGCGGCATCGATTTATGCGTGTACTTCGACCCGGCGTGACGTCGATGATGATGATGGCCGGCAGCGACGACGACGACGACGACGACGACAATGGCGATGGCGATGCGCGAATCGACGGTGCAAACGGGCCTTAAACTCTCCCCGCGCTGCTGCATTTTGCATCGGTATGCATTCCCGTGCGCGCGCGGGAAACACAGAGAAGAAGAGATACAGATATATATATATATATATATATATACCTCTCTCTCTCCGTCGGTTCTCCTCCGCGCCACGTGACTGCACGCTGCAGCTGTAGCCGTCGCTCTGCGCGACTTGCATCCGCAAGTTCCTCGCCTCCGTGGATTTTTAACGCGAATTCTCGCCACGAGTTTGACGCCTCGGCTCGACAAGCGATAATTGAGCGACCGTGAGTACACCAAAGGTATTCCTCCATAACCGGCAATTTCTCGTATTTCATTTAAATAACGGAGAAGCGAGGAAAACACATGGATGGAAAATATATTCGTCGTGACATTTGTCAATTGGTTAAGGCGTTCGAGAATTACGAGAGGTCCTCAAACTTGGACTCTATTGGCTATGAATAAGGATTGCAATAACTTTTCCTTCATATGTCAAAACAACTTCAATTCAAATGCGTCAAAACAACTTTACTAACTTTAATCATGCTGCGTACAATTGGAAATATTAATTTTTTTATAGTAAGATTGATTTATTTTCTTAAAATATCCTTGTACACCTCGAGTACTAATAGTGTCAATTCGAGAATATGAGTAAAAAGATGCGGCTTTTTACACGCGAACAATTTCATGATAAGTTAAATGGCTAATAAACGCAGTATTAATGATTAAGTTGGAATTTTTACGATTTTATCTAAACAAAAAGATATTAGTTGTCCAATATGTGTCTCTATCTCTTTATGAATTGTGAAAGATCCTTATAAAAATAATATACCAGTTGTGTATAATTTCTATATAATTTTTATCTTATTTTAACTATTTAATCATAGAAAATCTGACAATTGCAATTCTCTCTCTCTCTCTCTCTCTCTTTCTCTGTTAAAATATCAGAAATAATGAAAGAGATTAAAAAATGACGTAAGTGCCAAATTAAAGAAACTCTGGAAAAAACGCCGAAGAAATATTCGTCCAGTTCAAAGAAAAAAAATTTTTTTTTTCTCGCTATTTAAAGTGTCGTTCCAACAAAGTAGGTTCGCACGTCGACAGACATAATTTGCGTAGAAGACTATTAACAATTACACACGCGCAACTGCAGGTTTTCAAGATTGAATTACTTCGAAATGTTGATGACTAATTAGTGAACGAAACACAAAAACGAGAGATATCTCGCCGGTCATATACGTAACGCGTAACGTCGAGCCCGTCGACCCAGAAGCACGAGCTTTATAATTGTAAACGCTATAATGCATTATTAACGTTTTAATTATGTGCGCCGCGCTAAATAAACACTCGCTGCTTCACGGTTCTAACGTTTTGTTCGACTCGTATTCGCGTTACATTTGTTTAATTTCATTAAAAGATCAACTGTCGTTTATACAAGCTATTTTGTTATTAATCAACAATTAATGATTTATAAGACTATAACTTAATATTTCGTTTTAATCGTATAATAAACAGTTGCGATTTTCGTTATGTTTACCGCGATAACTGTGACCTTTATTTTCCTCGAAAGATTACAATGTCGTAAGTTTAAAATTTACGATGCGCGTACGTAATTTATGTAAAATAGATTCGATTCCTGTTGAAATAAACGTTTGATGTATTTACTATCCTTTCTTTATCGTTTAGATAAGCTTCTTCTCTTATCAACGGTAAAGCGTAGTTTCAAGCTACTCGAGATATCCACTGTTTCCATTAATTAAAAAAATGTTAAACAAGAATTTATAGGAGCAATATTTTCACAATCGAATGACAATCGAAAGGAATTAACAGAGGAATTATAGAAAAATAAAATCGATGAATAATCGTAATTTTAATAATTATTAAAATTATTAAAATTTTACACGAGTGTATTAAAATTATAAAATAGAATAGCTCCTCCCGGACTGAAGATATTGTCTAAAACGTCCGTCCGTAATGTAATCGCGACGTGAATCATCAAAAATATCATGCGCACGAATTCCCGCCGGATGAATTCTCGCGCTCTAACCTTCGCACTGTCGCGTGTCACAATTGTTTCCATACAGAACGGAAGTTTTTATACTAGCGTGTAAACGTGACTCTGGAGTGACTTCGGCATTCATGCCGCACATTTAGTTCGAACTCGGGTTACCCGTGATAAAAATCGCGTTTCTTGCATTAAATGAAACTCCGGCCATAACGATGGCTCCAGGAACGTGGACTTTTTGTATTTTATTGCGTCTCGTGTGAGTCATCGTTTTAGAAAAATTTTATTGCGCATTTGCGTTAAGACGAAAAACAAGGACGCTTCGGCCAATGTGACACTCGATGATAAGCAAGGAAGAATCATTAACGCGAGAATTAATGTGTCGACACGAATTTTACGTTTTACTGCTAGTCGTTTGCATATCGCTCCGTTAACGAATTATACATATATCTTGAAATCACGAAGCGTGACCTCTTCAAACTTGTCCCAAGAGATCAAGGAAGATTCAACGCTAGAAAGGTCGCGCGTTTGTCATTGGGATTCTCATTAAAAACACGCTTTGGAAAAAGTGTTTCGTGACACAGGATTAAATTTTGATCGTCTAATCCCGAGTTTACCTTCTGACTAGAAGACAAATACACACATACACACACACACACACACACACACACACACACACACATACGAAAGTGGAAAAGTGTTCGCTTACCTTCCAACCGGCGCTGCTGTTGTTATCACCCTTGTCCTTGAAGTAGGACACATTCTGGACCATCCACTCGTAGATCTGTGAGAGGGTGAGCCGCTGATCGGGCGCGCTGGTGATCGCCTGCGTGATCAGGTCAGCGTAGCTGAGGTTACCCCAGGCGTTCCTCCTGGACGAGTTCTTCTTCACCGTCAGTAGACCGCCCTGAGCCAGCTGGGTCTGATGGGGCGGCGTGCCGCCTTCGGCGCCCTCCTTCGTGGCGGGCGCGTTGCCCTCGACGTATCCTTCGGGTCGCGGTAACGGCCATGTGTTGGAACGGGCTCTGGTCTGTGGCTCGAAGCCGGTCTCCAGATCCGGCGAGGTCGAGAACTCGAAGGAGACTCCCTTCTTCTGCGCCTGCTGCTGTTGCTGTTGCTGCTGCTGCTGTTGGGACGGGGTCATCGGCCCCGTAGCTGAGACCGGAACCGAATCCATCATATTGGATGATAGATCGACACCGAGAGAACCCGTTCGGGCGCGAGGGAGACGATCCAGATTGCGTTTCGGTCGCACTATCACTAGATACAAATGTATACGTGTGTGGAGAGATGGCCTTCGTACGTCCTCGTTCGTCCACGTTCAAGTCAGATTAATGTGCGTCGCTGCTACTTCTCACTGCGATTCCTCGACACATCACCACCAAAAGGGACCATCGATCGAGCGCGGGATCGGAACGCGCGGGAACTCTGTCGTGCCGAGCGACGACGACGACGTTCGACGGCGAGTTCGCGGGGAGCGGCTGCGATTGTGCCCTCACGTGCGACTGGCGACGGCGATGAACCAACTGAGGATTCCGGTGTTCTGCGTGCCGAAAGAGCGCGCGCGAGCGAGCGAGCAAGAGAGTCGTAGAAGGAGAACGACGGCGACGGCGACGATGACGGCGATAACAGCGGCAGCGGGGGAGAACGAGCGAGAGAGAGTGAAAGAGCGAGAGAGAGAGAGAGAGAAAGAGCGAAGATAGAAGAGCAAAGCCAGTGGTGCGAAGAGAGAGAAACGATGATAGGCGCACGACGCGGCGGAAGGAGGGAGCAGACCACGTGGTCAAACTCTGTGTTTACAAGCCGTGCCGTCCGGGGGTCACGTGGCCATGTTTTGATAGGAACTTGGCCCGCCAGCACGAGCCGAGCGAGAGTCTACTCTTCTACGTCGTCACTGATGATGACGATGATGGCTGCTCGTCGCGGCGTGATTCTCTCCGTGTTCGGCTAGCGACGACGCGATCCTCCCTAGAGTTCGCCGATGGCGCGATCGCGTTGACGGTGATCCTTGGTGCCCTCGTTGCTCTCGGCGGACCGTTTTTCCTGGTATCTCTCATCGATTATCCTCGGGATCCTCGGGATCGCCGGCGAGCTGTCGCTCCGCGCGTTCCTCCGAGCGATCGCGAGGTCGATCGCGCCTCTCTCGTGTCGGACACACGTGGACGAGTCTCCTTCGGGATGAGAATCCGTCTGTCGTGACGATGGTCGCGCTTTCAACCCCGTTCGGCGCGAAAGAAGAGAGGAGAGAAAGAGAGAGAAGGACTTGCGAACGTGCGCGCAAAATCGCTCGAAATAAATGACGACTCGTACTCTCGTATACGACGGATATGAGGTAAAGGAAACCTACTGACACTACGTACAACTTGCCGGCAAGGCAGCGCGGCGCATACTGGCGAATTCCTCCGGCCGGCGCTCGGAACCGACCGAGTGGAGCCGAAGTCGCGAGGAGCGAATTTGCGACGCCTGTCGCCGCACTTTGGCGCGCCGATCGCCGACAGCGTGACATGTGCGAGCGAGAAAGAGAGAGAGAGAGAGAGAGAGAGAGAGACGGAGAGAAAGAGACACGGAGAGTAAGAGAGCGAGAGAGAGGGCCGAAGGAGTACTCTCGTAGCGTGAAAGGGAGATGCACGGAGGGTACTCGAGAGTGGGGTGGTACTAGGTGGGTGGCTCGGCGGCTTGGTAGGGACAAGAAAACCGGAGTGGGAAGCTAACAGTATAGTGGGGAGAGAGAGAGAAAGAAGGATAAATAAGAGCGAGAGAGAGACAACTACGGGTTGCAACTTTGTGTGACGAGAGTGGGAGGCGAGAAGGAGAAAGAGAGAGAGATTGAGTGAGCCGGAGTCGGTGAAGGAACGGGGGAGGAAGAGGGACGAAGAGGGGAAATGCGACGCGAGGAGGGAGAGTGCAGCGTGCACTCTCGTCGCATCTAACGGGTGGGCGGGAAAAGGGGTATATACGCTGTATCCCACCTCCCTTTGGGGTTTAGGCATCGCGCGCAGAACCCACGAGGAGGGAATATTCGCACGCGGTGCATCTCTTCCCTCTCCCTCTACCGTCCTCCCCC